CACTCACAGCTCTGCTTGGGATCCATTCAAAATCCCTCAGTGCAGGAGAAGATGGTCTCAGTCACAGTTACGGCACTGAAGCCTTTGAGAGCAGTATAAGCCACATGAAGATACTATAATGCACACAACAATTTGAATACATTACAGTCTTTACAAGTATATATTAGTGTGAAAATTGACAATACAGAAGTAAAGATTACAGGATTGCTCCCTACTTTGGCTTCTTTGAAGGAACGGGAATTTCAGGTGCGTAAGAACCACTGAACTGGACTGTGGCTGGTGATCAACAGTGGTAGCTGTGGAAAATTTCAGGGCCTTAAAGTTTAGTGCCAACCAGACCAAAAGTTACTCCTGAAACTAGGGTAAAGAAAGGAAAAAGTGAAATCTGGATTAAATACAGGCAAATTTTAAAGTAATATCTGAGCTGCAGTTCTTAAAAAGCTGTATTTTTAAGGCAATTGCAGATGAATATTTTTATTTGGTCAATTATTTTGTTCTGGGTATACTGCTGTGATGAATGTTCATGTCAATATCCAAAACAAGCATGTTTTTTGGAGTAAAGTTTAAGAGAAAATAATCTGAATTGACTATCTTTAGCAACTTTTTAGAAAACATAATATTTTTTACTGTACTACAAAAAGACTATAACCAGCATACCTATCCATCCTTGTAACTATTCTGTTGTATAAGTTGTAGGAAAACTTTGTCTGTCATTTTATCAGACTAGTAAAAACAACAAATTCTTATGAAAACGGGGACTCAGCATGCACAGCAGTTACATTTTAAGCCCCAGTACTTAGTCTATTTTTAATTAAAAAAACCCCAACCCCCCCAAAAACAAAACAAAACAAAACAAAACAAAAGGTCCAAGTTCATTGAAAGGACCAAAAGGGCTACATAGAAAATCTGTTTGAGAAGCACCATGGATCTGAAGGAGAACAAAAATAAATCAAAATTTCTCTTCCATCACTTTTGCTTAGTACCCCCATGACTTCAAAAACTAATTTATTTTAAAGTTTGTAAAAGAAAAAAAGAAAGTGTTGTTGGACTAAGACTTCACTTATCAAGTTTCATCCTGGAGGGAATTTTTATAGCTGAGTTATAAACCCTCCACTCTAGAGTGTTTATAATGGAAACGCTGACAAATGTGATAATAAACACCAATCATGGGGCCATAGTAGCTGGTCAGAATGTGGATGCAACGCTATCATAATATTTTGTTCTGTTTCCAGAGCTAATTTGCTTAAATCTGCTTTCAGGTTGAGCAGCTGTTAAACAAGATCAGCCTGACTATAGATTACAAAATCATTTTATTATTTATACTTCTCTTAGAAAGCTTGGAAACATCTCTCAAATATGATTTCATTTAGACTTATTTTTTTGGTTTACATGTCTGAATACTAATTGTAATGTGATAGCTTCAAGGGAACTTAACTTTCTACCAAAAGGCAGCCTTCAGCGGGCAAAGAGAATATAAACAAACCCGCCTCAGACCGGGATCTAAAAACAGGCTATGTTCAAACAACTCTAAGGCTTTAAAAAGCCTCTTATTATCTTTTCCCAGAAGTAATTGACACTGTCAGGTTTTGTTCTTAATGCGGTGATAATGGCACGGTGCCCTGGGGAGACCAAGGCAGGCGACTGGCCTCAGCCTTGGTGGCAGGAGGGTTTCTGAGCAAGGGAGAGGCCTTGCGCTGCTGTGGGTGAAATCCTACCCTCGCTGAAGTCAGCAGCACTTCTGCGCCCACTTCACCAGGGCCAGGGCTTCACTGGCTTCCCACGCCTGACACGCTGTTGTATTGCACTGTGACTCCGCAGGCTAAGATGCAGCTCCCTTGGATTGAGATGAGGATGAGAGGAGAAGGGACCCCACAGTCTTGTTATTTCAGGGAGATGGGATCGCACTCCAGCAAGAAGCTTGTCTGCAATGTTTCCATAATTTGTTTATAGTCTGAGCAGGCTGAGCTTCCAGGACTTCAGCACATCCACATGGGCCAAGTGATGGGTCAGTGGGGCATCTCACTCTTTCACTGAGCTCCTCATGGGCAGAAGGGCATGCTTCAGTTTTTACACAGGTATCTAAGAAAGAACTGCATCTACACTACTGTTCTGGTAAATATTTGCCAGTTTTGGAAAGGCATGAAACATAAAAAATTAAAGCCCCCTTCATCAGGTTCTCAGCTCCTATAAATAAATGTGTGGTGAGAGGCTCCTCCAAAGTCTTCGACACAACACAAAATGCATCTCGATACTTCATCTGTGCTGTTTGCATATTGTGTTCATTGGCTTGTACTGCAACTGTATTTTTAATTTCTAATGTTATCTTTAGAATCAGTGGCTCATATAAGAACGTTACTACTGTTCTGAATTGCTGCTGTAAAATTTCCAGTGATCCATTAAAAATCAGGATTCATAATGCAAGATCCAGATTTTTATTTTTATTTTAAAATAAAATGTAACATTTTCTTTCTGCTTTTCTCTAGTCTTTAACACAAGTATGGAGAAACACTGGATCTTGTACAAATGCCAATGTTTTGTTATTAAGCCAAGAAGAGAAAACAAATATATTTTTAATTATCTGTTACAGTCATGTTTACATTATGAATCTCTTAACTTAAGACTCTATGTGCTATGGAGTTCTAATTTTATCCAGTGACTTGAGCAAGAAAAAATATGAAAAGATTTATAATTGTGCTGTGGAAAGCACAGTAGTATGGAAATCATAGATAAGTAGTGCTAAGAAGTGGATATTGAATTGCATATTTCATTGTCCTTAAAGAATTTGTCTTTATCATTTGGCTTGAGACAGTGGTAACAGCAAAATGCATATGGGTCATGTGAACAGTTGTTGATTTTGGAAACATTCTTAGTAGTCCCTTTTCTCATTTTATTTTTAGAAAAAAAAAAAACCCCAAACCAACAAAAAACAACACAACAAAAGCCACACAAAACCATCTGAAGAGGTGAAACACCCTAGTTTCTAGAGAGGATCCAGCTGTGTTGACTATCCAACTGCCTCCTGGAAAAAAAAGCATTCTGACAACTGGAGAGCAGATGCAGTGTGTGGAGTCAGGGGGGTCAACAAAAACAAGTGGAAAAAGAAATCAAGGAAACAAGTGAAAAGAGAAAGAATATTAGAGTACTAATACAGGATATTAGTTCACTCATGGTAATATTGAAGTGAATGGAACCAGAAAAAGAAGATGCATCACCACAGGAGCTGACAAAAACATGAGAGAGGAAATCAAAGTGATCCTAGGGTGGGATTTATATCTTAGTCACACCAGCCCGAATCGAGGGTAGATCCTGATTGCACTGCTATCACGACAACGTTATGTAGCGGAGATAAAAGCTGTCCCACGATGTCAGGCTGAGCCGCTTCCCCGGCTGGGGCCTTTGCTGTGAAGGTGAAGGCCGGGCTGGGCTCTGACCGGGCTGGTCGCCGCCCGCCTGCTGCGAACACGGGGGAAAACCCAGGCCCTTCCCGGGCGGCGGCGGGAGAAGGTGCCCGAGGCAGGGAGAGCCGGGGAGGGGGCGAGCGGGGGAGCAGAGGCATGTCAGGAAGGGTCGGAGAGGCTTCTTGGGGAGACCCCCGGCCCCCTGCCCCGCTCCTGGCCCGGCCACGGCCGCTCCCCCGGCTCTCGCCTCTGTTCACAAGCGGCTG